ATCTGCGCATAAACTGCAAAAATTCCCGAGGTTGACGACAAAAAACAAGGATATGTTAAAGGCATCAGGGTTTGATGTCTAGATCGGAAAGAAAGAGCATGTCATARCCATTCAGTAGTGTCGTTCCCTCCTGCCCCTGAAGAAGGGGACGTATCCACTATTTGTGACTAGAGGTTACAAYATGTATGAGAAATACTTAGCAATCCGTMGTGCTATGAAGGACAATCCTTAGAGCCTCATTTGTCACTGCCCCGCCTATGCGTTGCCCGGTGTTGTGCAGTGTGCGTCAGAACACGTGGAGCACGTGGGGAATCTTTGCTCCAACAACTGCGCCTCAACGTTTACGAGTTCTGGACAACATTATGCGAGGCTCGATGCCGCCTCTCACAGTTCTTTTTACCCTCGCCGATAATCTCGTGCGCATTGCAGCGAAAGATCTTCTCACCCTTTTGCATATCGAGGGCAAGGTGAATGATGAAGTGGTTAATTTYTACATTATGGCGCTTTGGGGGTCGACCACATGTACAACMMATGATATGTCGCCAAACCTTCATGTCCTCAACTTTGATTCGTTCTTCTTCGGTAAGYTGCAACTTGAAGGACACAATTGGGTGAAAAGGTGGGCAAAAAACGTAGATMTTCTTAAGTACGATATTATCTTTGTGCCTGTTCACAAAGATAATGATCATTCGATCCTTCTTTCCGTCAACTTAAGAGACAATGTCTTGGAAGTTTTCRATTTTTTTTCATCACGTTATAGCCGATAGGAATTTTTACCTTAGCCTTTTCGATTTGATTGTACAGTATTTAGAACAGGAAACATTACAAAGCCGGTCAGATCGGAGTTGGAAGTCGATGGTGGCGAATGTTGTGAGGGAAGAAGTTCCCAGACAAGTGGATGGAGCAAGTTGCGGGTTTTCATGTTGATGTTAGCGACGTTGTTGCAACGTGGTGATTGATCACCTTTCACGTTCTCTCATAGAAATATCCCGCTTATTCAACGACAATTAGCAACTTATATACTAGAAGGTTGTTGTCTTTGATGGTGATGTATTGCTCCCAAACTTTCTTTTCACAGTGTTCTGTGCATTAATGATTTGTAATGCATGACATTATTCAATTATTATTTTAACAACAATTTTGTTTTTTTTAATTGTTACGAGTTAAAGTTTTCCTTGGCATGCTCACTACCTTTTTTATATCATGTGCATACTTCGTGATCTCTATCATAAGTTTGTCGTTTTTCATGCACCCGAACTTGTTTGTATTGAATTTCATATTTCAAATATTTATGCACGACAACCTAAAGTGCACATATGATTGACATTAGATAATATTCGAATTTGTTATGTTATACGAGAAAATGGTGTATGGATGCAAGTCAAAACTCGGCAAGTATATGCAAAGATCACTAACTTAACGACTCTTTCGTGTACATCTATTCAGATGCCTTGTGACTGTCTGCATTATATGTAACCAACAACTTCACGTTCATAACCTTAAATTTTAGGGGTCGCAAGTTGAAGTGCGGGCTCCATCGAAAATATGCAACATTCGAAGTTCTTGTGTAATATAACGGGTATTGTTGCAGGAAAGGATGTATGTCAAAATTAAGTGGTTGTTAGAAAATGAAAACGTTTCTTGTCTAAATAATACTCATCTACACCCAACACATGTCTAACTATCCATATTGTCAAGAAACATATTTCAATTATATTTTGACTAGTACTTTAACTGTTATAGTGCTTAAAAATGATGGCACATAATAAAATTTTCGATATCAAACAAGAATACAATGACACATTGCTCATCACAATTATCAACAAGTCTAKATTTSAACASACATCCAAACAATTGTCACGGGCGAGAGGATGAGTTTGTCTTTYATTACAACTCTAAACAAGTCCGAATCTCATCAAACATCCACACAACCGTATCGKTCGAGAGGACGAGAATGCATGTGCTACTTAGGAATAACCTAAACAAACATATCCAACAAGGATACAATTATGACACATGGCTCATCACAATTGTGAGAAAGTATGAATCTCAGCACACTTCCGCATCTCGGGTGAGAAAATGGGCGTTACTATCATTACACTTCTAAAGAAGTCAGGATTTCATCAAACATTCAAATAAAGTCTCGGGCGAGAGGATGGGTATGCTTGTCCAACTTAGGAATATTAACCTAAAGAAATGAAATATCCAACAAGTTCACAATGATGACACATTTTCATCATAATTATACACAAGTATGGATTTCAGCACACTTCCCCATCTTGGGCGAGAGGATACGAGGGCCTATCATTACACTTCTAAACAACTTCGGATCTCATCGGACATCCAAACAACTGTCTCGGACGACAGGATGGACATACATGTGCTACGTAGGAAGAAACATATCCAACATGCCTTATGATAGAATCATGACACCTGACTCGTCACAATTATAAACAAGTATGAATCTCAACACACTTCCGCATCTGAGGCGAGTAGATACGCGTGTAACAATTACACTTCTAAATAAGTTCGGATCTCATCAAACATCCAAAAAATTGTCTCGAAGGAAAGGATGGGCAAACCTATGTTACTTATACTGCAACCAAAATGAATTCGTTAGAAAGAGGACACAATATAAYGTYCTATTTTAACGAATAACATGTTCTACMGATCTTCATCCTCGGGAAGTGAAAGACATACCAAAGTCTTTTCTCTGACCAATTTAGAAATATGCACTCCATTTTYCAAACGCAATRTTTTTTATGTCCAACTCCACACAACACAGTCTACACGCTGCCACTGCTGTGATGTTGTGTTGTCTTTCTTCCACGTCTTCTTCCATCCATTTGAATATTGCACAGAAAGACGTTTGACAACAGGTTGTGACACTCAATATTCAATAAAAATATGATTGAAAGTTAGCGACTCCATATCGTTGTCTACATCGGAAATGACTCTACCCATCCATACGGGAACTCCCTCATCGATATCATCTTGGGAAGGATGCAAAATAACGAATTAACCTTTTTCGACATCTACAACTGGGTTAAGCTCTGCCTTTGGACGCTCATTGGCTGGTCCAACGAACAACGGCTCCTTATTCTCATTGCTTTTCAAGAGGAAGACAATATAAATATCATCAGCATCATCCTTCGTAATTCTGTCTTGTGAGGGCCAGAAGTCAGCCTTGAGTTATGTTTTTGCAAAGTCGGACTCATAATTTTTCTCGACTGTCTCGAGGAAAGTTTTTCAATGTGAAAGAACACTTTCCCTTGATAAGCTAACCTCATCTTTCATTCCCAACCACCCGTGCAGTTTGTTCTCCAACCACCCAACAAACGTCTTCACACCTTCAATTCCTGATTCGAAATCTGAATTTCTATCTTTAATAGGCAGAGTAGCAGACAACGGAATAGGTGATGGCTCAAATGGTCATTCGGGTCCACCATATGCTTTGTTTCCATCTCGTTTAAAGCAATAGACTGGAAAAGACCATTCAAGAGAAGTGAAATGCTCTTTCCACTGGAACAGAGGATTGTCATCCTACATGTAAAACCTAAATGCATGTGGACGAGTATGACCGGTCATTCTCTTGACCAGGAAGGGTTTAAMAGCAGCTCGCCAATCAGCAATTTCATCCATGAATGTGCGACAGACGCTCTTTTTGRGAACTGGTAACGAGCTTGAAGAGGTCGAACATGGTATAAGCATCGTGCATTTTTAGTTTGCGAGAGAAATGACTGAAAGTGGCATCAACGTCCGTATGTGTGTGTCTCACTAATATAAAACTGAATTCGACTTCTTTGAAGAAACTAAATTTTACCAAAGGTGCAAGAAGCGCCAAAACGTATCTATTTTTTGTTTTCTCTCCAACAGTTGTCTGCTTGTATCCTCAGTTTAGGAGGTAAGTCGCTTGTCGCCTGGATGTCACGCAGAACTTTCATATTAGATGACACGACAACATTAGAATCGTGTGAATAGCAAGGGTACCATGTGTGAACATGAACCGATGGTGAACGACCGTGTGCAATAATAGTTGTTAAATCGCGTCGGGTCGGACCACCACCTTGGGGCGCACTCCTGCTCATGGGCGATCTACCACAGTCACTCTCGTTTGAGAGAAGTGCTCCGACTTGCATGCGTGGCAAGAAGTCCAGTGCGCATTGCACCCGCAGAGCATAGTGCCCGAATAACTATCTTTTATCTTTTATTACATTGATTGCAAATTGGAAGACTGTCATAATATGAAATAGAGTCCCTTTGGTGTTGGACACGACGATTACGTTGCTGCGGTCCTTTGCCTGCTCGGTTTGGGGTTCCAGGAACTCGTCGTGTGTCGTCGCTAGAGGTCCTCGACTGACATCTTGTTCAAACTCTGCACAAGTTTTGCTTTGGATCTGCAGAGTCTAGTCCCCGGAAATCAAGAGCGGAGTCCCTTCCGTGTTGGACAAGACGGTCGCGTTGCCACGGTCGTTTGCCTGCTCACTCTGGGTTCTGGGATCTCCTCGTGTGCTGTCGCTAAAGTTCCTCGAACAACATCGGTTTTGTGTTCTACAAACATGTGTCATTCTGAATGTTTCCTCTGAATGCTTTCATGTCAGGCTGTGTTTTGCGCGTCAGGATCTTTGCCTTTCCGATACTGGTACCCGCTGTGTTTTGCGCGTCATGGTCTCTGCCTTTCCGATACTGGTGCGCAACGTGACATGTGCTACGTTTCCGACTCTCGTTTGATCTCTGACTTCGCCACACTCTTTTGTGTGTCTTGCACCTTTGCCACTAATTGCCCCACTGACTGGACTGACGAGTCCTCACCCGTCATTAATTCTATATGCTTTGAACCCAATCTTTGTGCCCTTGTAATGTTTCCTCTCGATGCTCACATTCCAAGGTGGCGTGCTCTACCCTTTCGAATGTTTCCTGTTCCTCTCCGTACCCTTGTAGGGCTGTGTTTTTTGCTGTCGTTTATAGGACTGTGTTTCTCACTGTCGTTTATAGGGCTGGTTGTCTGTTCCCTTTCATTAATCTCTGATTTTCGTCACACTCAGTTGCATGTCTTGCGCCTTTGACAGTGGTCCACTGTATTGTTGTCGCAAACACATTTCGTACATGGCTTGTGGTGTGCATGCTATGCCACGGCAGGCTTGCAGCACAACCTTGGAAAGCATGGACTGTATGGCATCTAATACAATGCTCAATGAAGATGTTCCTCCACCGGACCTGCCAATGTGTTCACAAGATGTTCGAAGTGGTCAGGAACGTGTCAACAATACTCCGGAATCTCCTGGTCATAAGAGGTCACGGATTATTGCGTGTGCAGACACTACATGTGAAAGAGCGTATCCGGCCTTGCGCTGCCTGGTTCAAACCTCTGATGCAGACAGTGCGGAAGGTGAGGAGGGTAAGGCCTCCTCTGTTGACAACAACACATCTGATGTAGACCGTGTTGTATGGGTGCCGAGGAATTCACTTCGAGATTTCGAGTACACAAGTCTTCTGTTTGGTGAGAGTGATGAAGATGGTTCAGATTCAAGTGCTTCTGTGTCGTCTAGCGTTGATAGTTCTCTTGATAAAATCGGTCATCCGCAAACGTACGCTAACCGCAACACTGATGACGATGAGAATTGTGATGTCATCTCAGATTTCGATGACATTTTCCTGAAACGTCTGTCCTCAGAGAAGCGTCCTTATAGTTTTCGTGTCAGAATGTCATGGTCAAAGAAGATTCTACAATCAGTTCAAAGAAAACTCGTCAAAAAAACACTGGCGAGTGTGTGTGGAAAAGTTTGTTGTAAGCGAATGTATTGCGCTCAAATCACCCTGAAAGACATCAAAGCTGTTCAGAGCGCATATTACCCTAAGGACCAGAAAAGCAGGGATGCATAGTGGGTTGAAACGTTGAAGAGGTTCATTTTCATAGAAGATGAGAAGGAGATTGTTCAAACTATTGTTGGGACAAGAAAGGTGTGCATTAGTGCATGGTGTTTCGCACTACGTGTATGTAGGAATACATTTCTCAAAAAAAGAATGACTTTGTCAAATGACTACATTATGCCGGAGCATGGCAACACTGGACTCAGACACACATTAACAACATATGCGACGATGCACGAAAAACTAAGCTCCTTCGTGCGAGATAACGGAGATTCTATGCCCAATGATATGAAGATCAAAGAGGAAGAATTGGGAGTGGTGTTGAAATTGTCTGTTCGCTATAACAAGGTTGATATTTATAAGTTGTTAAAGTCGCAATTCGACAACATCTGTGCTCCTTGTGTTTCTCTCCAAATTTTCTACAGCATGTGAAAAACGCAGTTCTGGCATGTGAAATTCAACGACATTGATCAAAACTTTGCAAAATACGAGAAATATGTTGAATACAAAGAATCTATCAATTCTGCAAAGTTTGTACGTATGCGTGAGTACTTTATTTCAGTACGTGAGAAACACTTGGACTTGCAACTCCAACATCATGCTGCATATGAGTTGTGGAAGGATGAGTCAAAAAGATCAGGTTTTAACAGTTTATGCATCATTATTGACGGCATAAACTAAAGCAAGATCAGTATTCCACACTTTGGCGGAGAAAACAAATCGAAGACATTCGTAATTCTTTGGTTTTTTTTTTCTGCGGTGTCGTCGTGTCAAACACGGAGGGTGTGCTTTCAGTCGTGTTCCACACGACTTGGGGACTGCCTGATCGGGACCCCTCATCGGGTTCAACACGACGACGATACGGAAATGCAGAAGACGATCGTGCTCAACGGTTGTTTCCGTCGTGGAACGTGGAACCTGTATCGACCGTGGCAGTATCGAACAAGTCGACGCTCGTTTCTTCCAYCRTWGCGTCGGTTGTTTCTTCCGCGATCTCGTAGTGTCGAACACGACAGTAAACGGTTTGCAGYGAGYGTTGTCGTGTCGAACACGACACTCGCTGTGCTATGTGTCAACAGTAGTTAGCCCGCAGCGTCCGTTGTCGTATCGAACACGAAGACGGTTGTTTCTTTTCTGGAACCTGTGACCTGCAGCGCTGTTGTCGTGTCGAACACAACGACGGTGCTGTCTTCCGCGGTTCCGTCATGTCGGACATGTCGGTTCCGTCGTGTCGAACACGGACGATGTGCCCTGTTTGACCCGACTCGGGGACCACGTCATTGACGACGGTTGTTTCTTCCTTGGAACCTGCAGCGTCCGTTGTATTGTCGAACRTGATGGCGATCATGTTTGACACCATGACGATCGTGTTCGACACCTTGACGATCGTGTTCGACACGATAACGATCGTGTTCGACACGATGATACTCGTGTTCGACACGATGATACTCGTGTTCGACATGATGACGGTTGTGTTCGACACGATGACGATCATGTTCGACACGAAGACGATCGTCGTGTTCGGCACAACGGCGGTCGTCTTCGATACGACGACGATCGTGTTCGGCACAACGGCGGTCGTGTTCGACACGATGACAATCATGTTCGACACGACGACGATCGTGTTCGACACGACGACCTATGCAAGTAAATGCCATAACGAAATGTCGAAGGAAATTTGTTGATGTAATCAACTTGAAGAAACTAACACACGATAGGGCAAGCCACAGAGGCAGTGTTTTTTTTTGTTTTTTGTTTTTTTTTTTGGGGGGGGGGGAAGGGGGCGGGCTCGGGCGGTCGTGGAAGCGGCATTAACCTGGAGAGCGGTCGAGTTGTTGTGTTAATGCTGACCGACTGCAACACTGCTTTTCCTAGCATGTGAACAACGGAGTGCTGACAAAATGTCGCGGCTACTCATGTGCGTGAAACGCTCTTGTGTCATAGAGGGATGCACTCTGGTGCGAAACGTCATCCCCTCACCTCCGCTTTGCCCTTGGCCCGTTCCAGGGGCAAAAAACGATCCTGGTCGTCGGCCACCCGACGATTCGACAACCAAGATGCACTGGGGGAAAAACAGGGTGTTGCACTGGCGGCACCACCGGATCCCCGCCTGCAGCCAATTGATCATCCCGATCGTCCGCATTCCCAGATCCGACAGCCACCACGAGCGTCYGAGGGGCCCACCTGAAAAACTATATATATGGAGGGGTCCCACCACTTCCCATTTTCGGTTTCAGGTGGACAATGTAGCAATAGCGCAGCGCAGCGGAGGTTCGTGCACAGCAGACTACCTGCACGACGCGACGACGGAGCGCAGCGGGGATTCGTTGACGCAGCAACAGCTCAGTGCAGCGGAGGTTCATGCATAGTAGACTACCTCCACGATGCGACGACGGACCATAGCGAAGGTGCCGACGGTCGGAGGTCGCGACGACGGAGGCGAGCAGACGACCCCAGGACGCGACGCGCAGCCATAGCGGAGCACCCCGAGTCCACAGGATCAGACGGTGAGGACACAACCAGCAAGCTTAGACGCAACCACGTAATGCCACGTGGCACTTTCGATTGACAGCGGTCGTGTCGAACACGACGACGGAGGAGCACTGTCGAGTCGAACACGACAACGGACCGGAGCAGTCGTCGTTTCGAACACGGCGATCGGGTCTGTCGTCGAATCGAACTCGACGACCGAGCGAATTGTCGTGCCGAATACCGGCCGCAGTGCCGTGTCGCTGAGCCGGACACCGTCGTTGTGCCGAACACGATTGTAGAGTCGAACACGATCGTCAAGTTGAAGGCAATCGTCGAGTCGAACGAACACTATCGTCCAGTCGAGCACGATTGTCGAGTCCGACTCGACGATCGTGTTCAGCACGAATGTCGTCGAGGACTCGACGATCTTGTTCGACATGACGATCATCTCCGACACGATGGTCGTGTTCGACACGATGGATGTGTTCGTCTCGACAGTCATCATCGACACGACGATCGTGTTCGAAACGGCGACGGTCATGTCGAACAAGGTCACYGTCGAGTCGAACAAGGTCGTCACCGCAGTGTTGAGCACGATCGTCGTGTCGAAGATGACCGTCAAGACGAACACATCTGTCGTGTCGAGTGCGATCGTCGTGTCGAACATGATCGAATGTCACCGAGCGCGATCGTCGTGTCGAATACGATCGTCGAGTCTGACACATTCGTCGTGTCCAACGCGACCGTTTTGTCGAAGACGATCGTCGTGCCGGAAACAATCGTTGTGTCGAACAGGATCGTCAAGACTCTGACTCGTCGAGTCGAACACGATCGACGATCGTGACGAAAACAATCGTCGAGTCGCTCACAATTGTCGAGTTTGACGTGACGATCGTCTTCGACTAGATGGTCGTGTTCGACACGGCGACGGTGTTCGACTCGACGGACCGACTCGATCGTGTTCAACGTGACAATCGTGTTCGATGCGACGATCGTGTTCGACGTGAAGACCGTCGAGCGAAATGCGATCACCGAGTCGGAGACGATCGTCGAATCGGAAACACTCGTCAAGACGGAGTCAATCGCCGAGTCGAACACGATCGCCGAGTCGAACACGATCGTCGAGTCGAACACGATCGTCGAGTCGAAACCGATCGTCAAGTCGAAATCGATCGTCGAAACTGATCGTTAAGTCGAGCACAACAGTCGAGTTCGATGCACCGATCATGTTCGAYACGACGATGGTCTTCGACTCRACGATCGTGTTCGACTGGACGATCGTGTTCGGCWCGACGACCTTTTTCGGTGGTCGTGTTCCACGTGGTAGTCGTGTTCGACGCAGTGGTCGTGTTCGACACGACGATCGTGTCCGAAAYGACGTGACGATCGTGTTCGGCACGATGGTGRTGTTCGAGACCACGAYCGGTTTCGACTCGACGATCGTGTTCGACTTGACGATCGTGTTCGACACCACAATCGTGTTCGACTCGATGATCGTGTTCGGCACGACGACCTTGTTAGGTGGTCGTGTTCCACGTGGTGGTCGTGTTCGACACGGCGGTCGTGTTCAGCACGACGATCGTGTCCGAAATGATGTGACGGTCGTATTCGGCACGACGGTGGTGTTCGAGACGACGATCGGTTTCGACTCGACGATCGTGTTCGACTCCAAGATCGTGTTTGACACGACGATCGTCTTCGACTCGACGATCGTTTTTGGCACGACGACCTTGTTCAGTGGTCGTGTTCAACGTGGCGGTCGTGTTCGACGCGGCGGTCTTGTTCGACACGATGATCGTGTTCGACACGACGATCGTGTCTGAAACGACGATGATTGTGTTCGGCACAACGGTGGTGTTCGAGACGACGATCGGGCGGTGAGGTCGGATCGAACTTGACGATGGAGCGAATTGTCTTCTCGAAAGTCCAGCCACAGCGTGGTGGCGTCGAGTCGGACACGATCGTCGTCCTTAATGCTAGTCGTGTCGAACACGATCGTAATGCTGAACACGACCGTCGTGTTGAACACGAGGACCGACGACTTTGTCGAGTTCATCCGTCTGCGTCCAAGTGGTTCTTTCTCTCTGTCTGCTGTGCCCTAGGGTGTTTGTGTCGTGTGCAGGAAGACGTCGATTGTGTGCATGGATTGTGTGCATGGCCGGCCTGTGCAGTGCAATGTTCTGCGACCTTCATTGTTAGCATTGTTAGGGCGATGGCAATTGTTCTCTACTGTTGTTGATCGTTGCACTTATGCCATGTCGTGCGCTTCACTATCGCGATGGAGATCTCTCACTAGATGACCCCAACAGTTTCGCGTGAACGAAAGGCACAACCTTTCTCACCTTGCGCGCTACACGTCCGACGATGTATGGGCCGCACAACCTGCCAACGACGCTAGTATGGCAGACTTCGAGTCAGATCCTTGGATGACAGTCGTCCCGTTTATCGACAAACATTTGGACTTCGGGGAAGAGTATCAGTGGGGGAACATGATGGCGGCGTGCTCGTGGGCGGACGATGATGAGTTCGCCAATATGTTGGAATTTGGAAAACATATTGTTGTGTCGTCCGATGTGTTGGGTCCCGTGCGTTTGCGTCAGTTGTGTAAGAAGTTGAAACTGAACCACCTTTACAGTGTTCTAGATTGCGAATACGTGATAGCCTCACCGCGCACATGGTGCCGTATTATGAAGCAGGAGTTACTCAACTGTGTTGGACATTTCCAGTTCCTCGATCAGTATCCATTGCGATCTCTGGGTTTGTCGCCTCAAGCAGTATCATATTGTTGTGTGAGATTGCGTCTGGGATGCTTCATCTTCTATAGGGTCTTCTGCATTGCCTGTTCAAACAAGGCAAGGAACTTGACAGACGTTGTCGTGTATGTGTTCAAGAACGAGTTATCTATGTCCGGAAGGGATATGAGTTTAGTTCAAAGAGAAGTCGATGAGAAACTGGATATCGTGGTCGGTGGCAAGGTGGAGGACGTCGGC